GCTCTCGTCCTTTTTGCCCGGGAGAACTCAAGGGCCGCATACTTTACGACACCTATCTCGCGCGACAGCACGATGCATTTCTCACAATCAGGACCCTCGAAGACGGAAACGCGTCTTGTAAGACGATCCACGAGGTGGTCCGTCGCTGGCTTTCAGCCACGATGAATTTTTCAACGACCGTTTCCTCCCCGTTTCGTCTCTTTTTCCCCCCTTCATCTGTAGATGCTCTTATCTCGTTCTTTTACCACTCTCTCTCTCTCGCGCGCTGTTGTCCGCGTTTCTGATATCATGTAAACTCAAGGGGAGCAAGAGAGACGATTAGTCACGAGGAATTAGCGTGGGACAAATTGGGACAATCGTTCGCGAATTTGGTTGTCCGCTTATTTTCATTTACATCGAGCGCGAGACCACGCGAATCTACTCTCTCTTACGTCATCATCTAGATATCCTTGTTCGCTCGTTTCGTTTCCGATTTGATTATCCAAGTGCGAAATATATCTTCTACATCTTTCTCGTTGTTTCTGATGCCGTGTAAAGTGAAGAGGAAGAGGAGAGACTAGTTGTGCGAGGAATTAAGAACGTGGACGAATTGTTCTTATTTTTTAATGCTAGTATGAAATCACACGAATCTACTCGTTCGCTTTTTTACTTTCTCCCGTTGCTGTTGTTCACGTTTCTGATTGCAACGATTAGTCGAGATGAATTAGCGCACGCAAACTATTCTTCGTTCGTTCAGATTTCGACAACGACGACCAGACAGCAGACTTTTGTATGTTTTTAAAGTTTTTATCAAGAAATAGAAATTTGCTTTTACGTTACTCTAATATTCTGTTAGATTTTGCATCGAGACCTCAACTTAAGGCTCGAAAATATTAAACACAGTGAATTTTTTTTTTTTTATAAAACTTGGAACTATAATCCAACGAAAGAATAGTTCCTCCAAAAAGTTACCTAAGGCAATAGATGATCTATTTTTCGTGTGAACATCGATGGATCGCCGAAATCTTTTTAAAATCGTTTTACGTAATATGTAAATACGTGTACATACGATATGAAATCTGATGAGACGATGAACATCATCTTCGAAGATGATAATTAACGAGACTCGTTTCATTCAGTCATGCAATCTTTCATTTACATACCTTTGCATATCATGCGCATTTTATGCCTTCCAATAGAAAGGCAGAAGAAAAAGGGAAAAATCCATAATGACGACTCGCGTAGATTACGCGCGTTCGTGCACTGTACACGCACGTGTATACAAGCGAGACGAGAAATTCGAGGAATCAGCAGGTGGACTCGAACGATTCTCGTAATATCACGACCGGCGAGGGGCATAAAGATTCGCTCCAAGTACACGCGTTCCAAGTGTACGTACGTACCGTGCCACGTGACCGTACATCACTTTAACTATTTCCTGGCGTGGTACAGGCCTACCGGTTCGCACGATCACGAACAACGAGAGATGCCACCGAGCGTCCCGAGGACTAACGCGCGCATCCGTGCGCTATGTCCAGCTGCAACGGGGATAACTCAACGACGCTCTGATCGAGGGATCGTCGATCCGCAGGATCTGTAGAACGTTGCGCCGTTTCTTTCGGCCAGGCCGTCGTCGCGGGTCACCTGTCCACCACTTTAAGACGTACACGCTTCGTAAATATCGGTGGACGTGCCTCGTCGAAATTACGAGACAGCCCGGACCGCGACCGGTTAATTCGACTCGTCGACGAAAGAGGGGTCTTGGTGAGTCTTGAAAATCCTGAACACGTAGTCGTTCACGTGGCCGGTCGTCGGGAAAACGTCGCTGTGAACCTCCAGCAGGTGAGCGCGCAACTCTTTCGCGAAGTTCGTTTGAAACGGCTCCGGATTGTCACCTTGGCACACGTCGCATTCGTAGATCGTCTTTCCTGGATGGAGGTTCGTCGATAACACGTGTTTCCTCAGGTTTTCCTGCAACATGAAGGACAGAGAATGGATTTCTGTCTTATCGAACGTATTATACGTAATTCAACACTTTCGAACTATAAACTAGAATCATATAACTTATGATAAAATATTATATAGATGTATAATTTAATTACAGTCCCAAAACATCAAAGATGGCCCCACCCACTTGTATCAATATACTCAATGGATCGCGACTGTTCAAATATTTTTGCGATCTGTGCTCATGTTACATATCTCGCAATTTCCATATACATTTTCGAACCTGTTCCGAACTTGGCTAATATATCAATGATAATCGGGAATCCCGCTACAGTGTTAATCGAAAATTTCGATATTCATAAATGTTACGTGACATACACGCGTAATATATTCGTAGAACTGTTCCTGCAAGAGTTCGAACACTTTCGCGAGCAACACACCCGCCTCATTATCGAGAAATAGATGAATCTTTCCCGAGTCGTAAATTTCCCATCCGCGAAGCCAGGGTGTGACACTTCTCGTCAGAGTGGTGTGTGTGTGTGTGTGTGTGTGTGTGTGTGT